GAGGCCAAAACCAATCTACAATTAAGTCACGGCTGGCTCAGTTCCCCTCCGTCATACCCACCAAAGAAGCCAGCATGGGGCCACCAGTTATAGACTGCCAGTCTCGAGGCCTGGCATTCAAGGCCGTCCTGATCTAACCTGAGCCCAACTTCTAACTTTGAATCCTACCCAGCTTCCTTGACACCACCCACAAACCTTCTCCACATACCATTCTCACGTCCCTCCACTCTCCCCAAGCCTCATGGGGACCGTCTGTGGAATGACTGTGTGTGAGCCTGCCATGTTTCCGGACATGTATATGTATCCTCTAGTAAATTTAGCACCTCTTCCTTCACTCTTCTTTTCTCTCCCTCACCCTCTCTTCTCTCTCTCCCCTCCTCTTCTCTTTCTCTCTTAGGGGAGGTGGGTTTTTTTTTGTTTTGTTTTGTTTTTTTTGTTTTTTTTTTGTTTGTTTGTTTTGAGACAGGGTTTCTCTATGTAACATCTCTGGCTGTCCCGGAACTCGATCTGTAGACCAGACTGGTCTCAGACTCACAGAGATCCACCTGCCTCTGCCTCCCGAGTGCTGGGATGAAAGGCATGAGCCGCCCCACCACCTTCACCCCTCTGTAAGCAGAAATTTCTCTTCCTGTGACAGGTACTTGAGCTCTCTGGTAATGACAAACCCTTGAAGAAAAAAAAAAAAAAAAAAACAGAAAATTCAGTAGTGATGAACAGGAGAGGTAAGGAGTGCCAGCCTGCTTCCATAAGAGGGCCTTCTGGAGACCAGCCTCCTCATTGCATGCGGGCAAGAAGCGGCAATGAAAATGGCGGCTGCCATATCTTGTCCCTTATCACCTGCCAATCCTGAGTTGCCATGATGTGCAAACCTCAACTGAAGGAGCAGAGCAGAGGTGTAGAGGTTGAGAGATCTGTTCCAGGCAACACAGCTTGTAAGGGGTGATGCTAAGATTCCAGTTCAGAACTTTCCGGCTGTGGGGCTAACTCCGTCTTTCCAAATGAAAACACCTTTGCAAAGATGTGATCCACTAGTCACATTTGCCAGACGTCTGCCCGGAGTCCAACCATGGACTCGCTGAGTTCTCAGCTCAGGCGTGGCTCCACCTGGGAACTAAACAGCAGACAGAGTACAGAGTCTATTCCGCGGGCAGTGGCTGGGGAAATACCAGGCAATACAAAACTGTTTACAGACAAGGGACATGATGCCTCTAGGGGTTTAATGTCCTCGAATGTGCTGGGGAGAAGATCATTAAAGAGCTCTAGCCAGTAGAATGCTCAATGTGCTCTTTCCCCAATGGCCGATCTGTTAGCATCTACGCACACACAGCACATGCAGTGTGGCTGGGTAGTACCGCTGGGGAACCAAGCATCTGACTGTATCTAACTCTCAGTGATTTAAATTAAAAGAGCTACACATGGCCAACAGTTACCTTTACGGGACTGTGAAGCTCTGGAACATTCCAACAGGTGAACAGCACTTTGCCAGTCATCTGTACTACATCACCATGTCTCACGCTTATTTATTTATGTTTTGATTGTAAGCTTTATGTCTTGAAGCATAAAGGGAATTTTTCATGCTATTAATGGGCAAGGAGGCCCCGAAGGAGACAATACGCACAAAGGCTTGAAAGCCTTCGAAACCCACCCTGCTGGCTGGAAATAGAATTGTGCAGAGTTTCAGAGATTACTGGGGAAAGTCGTGAGTGTTGCAGAACGGGGGCCTTGGAGGCATAACTGAGGGCTGTAAGGACTTGACAGGCAGCCCCTAGTCACTCACCCCTGCCCAGGAGGGGCTTGATGAAAACTATGCTGGACAAGACAGATACCACCCATGTATTGGATCCTGGAAGCCCAAAGAGGGCATCAGACGGGTCACCTAGAACCGGAGTCTAGGCCATAGTGAGTTGTCCAATGTGGGTGCAGGGAACCCAGCTCAGGTCTTCTGGAAGAGCAGCAAGCTTTCCAATTGCTGAGCCGTCTCTCCAGCCCTTGTAGTTTAAACGCTGCTCTCTCAGGGGGTCTATCCTTGGCTCATCTGGACGCATACCTGTCACTCTAATTGCCTGCTTCCAGTTGTTTGCCATGAAGCTCTGTCTCTGGTTGTAATATCTGTCTGTCCACCATGTGACATGCCCAGTGGTGGGTCGAGGAGGGTGACCTATTGACCTTTCATGTTTTTAGTCCTTAGCACCTGCTTGACTCAGTAATGTCTCCCTGCAAAGCTGTGGACGTTGAAGAGTAGCCTCCAGCAGATAGCTCAATATCTTTTTCAAAGCAGAAACATGATATCATCAGTTCCTCTGAGATACCACACCAGGAAATAAGGCTGGGGCCTCCTCTCTCAAACATCCCCATTGCTCCTTCTGCGTCTTTGGCCCCAAATTTTTCAGTCCATCCACGTAGAACTGCCTTCCTTCTTCCAGTCTTTCTCCATGGAGAGCTGCAGACCTGCCCAAGTGAAAACCCTTGACCCCTCCAGGCTCCTCACTGATTGGCTCTTTGGGAGAAGGATGGAGTGGGAGAGCAATGAGAGAGAGATTTTGATAGAGAGAGAGGAGACGATAGATGAGGTTAGGGAGAGAAACCTGGTGCTAAGGAAATTCCCAAGAATCCACAAAGATGACCCCAACTAAGACTCCTAGCAATAGTGGAGAGGGAGCCCGAACTGACCTTCCCCTGTAATCACATTAGTGAATACCCCAACTATCATCATAGAGCCTTCATCCAGCAACTGTCAGAACCAGATACAGAGATCCACAACCAAGCACCAGGCCGAGCTCTGGGAATTCAATCGAAGAGAGGGAGGGGTAGGATGAAATATATGAGCAAGGGATATATGAGATCAGGATGGAGAAATCTGCTGAACCAAGCTCAGAGAAACTCGGGAACTCTAGACCCACAGCTGTGGAGCCTCTATAAGACCAAACTAGGCTCTCCATATGTGAGAGACAATGGTGAGGCTTGGACTGTCTGGGGGGCCCCTGGCAGTAGGACCAGGATCTCTCCCTGGTGCAGGAGCTAGTTTGCTGAAGCCAATTCCCTATGCTGGGAAGCCATGCTCAGCACCAATGCAAGGAGGAGGGGCTGGGTCCTGCCCCACCTTAATGTGCCAGACTTTGTGAACTCCCTATGGGAGCCCTTACCCCTTGGGAGGAGTGGATGGGGAGGGCTGGGGGAGAGGTAGGTGTGTGGGGAGGGAGAAGGAGAAGGGTGGCGGGGTAGAACTGTGGATGGAATGTAAAATGAAATTTTAAAAAATCGAAAAATAAATAAATAAACATCAAGAATCCAGAAGACTCATTCCTCCTCCCAGGAGGTTGTCACTCTGTAGCGCAAGCCACACAGCATTTACCACAGCTTCCTGGTACCTTGACACAAAGCAGGAGCTCAGAAGTCTTTGTTGGCTAAGTAAACAGCACTGCTTGCTTCCTCTTTGACAGGCCTTCCTGTCGTAACTGGCCATCACCAGTTGCCCGTATTCCTGACTCAGAATGTCAGCATCTCATAGCTGCCCGGTGGTACAGTCTCTCAGTGCTGAGTCTCCGGGATATGGCCGGTGTTATTTATGCACCACAGATCGTTGGAGTTGTGTGTAAGCTTTCTTGCCGCCTTGCTCTCCAAGGATAGATGGATTGCTCCCTGAAGGCATACACTTTACCTTACTCATGCTGTCCTTACCAAAAAGGACAGCATGTACTCGGAATGCTCGAGATAAATAATTAAAATTGTAGTAAAAGTTAAGAACAATCGGATGAGGGATATTCAATTAATGTTTTTAATTTTTGGGAAACTACTATATAACAATAATAGATACTGACAAAAAAGACATGGCTAACAGAATATGAAATCGAATCACTGCATTGTGTAACCATCTGGTGTTAGATAAGAGGTTAGAACTCATTATCTTGTTGGTTACAAGTCCTAAACTGTGTCTGTATATAGTGAAGTATTTACTAAATAGAGAAGTGAAAATCTGAACGTTTCTTTGCCTTCTAAATTCTATACACCATTTTTTCACTATAAGTAAAGATATTTTCTAAATTATGTATTTTATTAAATGTTTATACTTTTACTAGTTGAAGCATTGCTTGATACATCCCCAAGGAGAGCAAATTCATTTAATTTAATTCTTCTCTCTCTCTCTCTCTCTCTCTCTCTCTCTCTCTCTCTCTCTCTCTCTCTCCCTCTCTCCTTCCCTCCCTCCCTCTCTCCCTCTCTCTATCTATCTCTCTCTCTCATCTTTCTCCTTCCTTCCTCCTTCCTTCCATAGTTGACACTATATCCGTCAGAGCAGAAGCATATTGCTAAGCGGTGTTTATGCGCACCACCCACAAGTATGTTAATATGTCTAAGCTACTAACAAAACACCCTGGACTGGGAGTTTGTAAACAACAGAAATAATCTTTCTCACAGTTCTGGAGGCTGGGAAGTCTAAGATCAAGGCTCTAGCAGACTGGTTTCTGCTAAGTTCCTACGTCCTAGATAGCTATCTTTTTTATGGTGATCTTGCCTGGTGAAGGCCAAGGGAGCTCCCTAGGGCCTCTTTGTCAGGACCCTACCTTCATGTCCCCTGGCTTCCCAACACCCTGCCTTTTTGATGCTGGGGATTGTTTCAGCATTTGAATTCTGAAGGGAACACAAGCCTTCAGATGTTCAGATATAGTCCATAGCGCTAACAAATCCGACATGCCCAGTGTGTGGTGAACAGCGTACATGTTATACCATTTAAATCTCATTACAATCTCATTTTATGAATGGGAACACTGAGATGTTAGTTAATTGTTGATTGATTGCTAAGTGCCTGGAGCTGGGCTGCCAAGTCAGGCCTAACAAACCCCGGACCTCTTGCTTGCCTGGGTGATTCCAGGCCAGAAACCCTAGGGCAACATCGTTGCCCTTCGCCCCTCGGGAAAAGCCATCTTCTGTCATCTCCCTGTGCAGCCTGCTGTGGAAATGAGGCAACAAATATCCCTCAGTTTTCCGCTTTGTTGTTGTTGCAGGAAGAGAAGTCAAACACCGTAGAAGCCCAATGGACCCCAGCTCCCCAGCAGGTAAGCTGGTGTTTTCCATTTCATGCGCGGCGGGGCGGTCTGTCCTTAATATTTTTCATTAATTCTCTTTTGTTTCGTGTAACACTGAAGTCAGTGGACAGATCGAGTCCCCAAGTCGGCTTCTTTGGGGCTCATTCAGATTTCAGTTCGATTACGTGATTTAAAGCTTTTTGTTGCTATTTTGTTGTCTTAACATTTTTAAATTTCTATTTGGTTTTATATGTGTGTGTGCACATGTGCCTGTATGGAAATCAGAAGACAGCTTATAGGAATCAGCTCTCTTCTTCTGCCACAAGAGGCTTGACCGGGGCCTTGAACTCAGGACCTCAGTCTTGACAATGGCACTGTCCTGCTAAACCATCTTGCCAGCTCCCTCTGCAGCTCCTCGTGATTATTTTCTACTTTTATTGTTGGGAAGAGAATTAAAAATGTGTGTGGCAAGACAGCAAACCAACCAGATCTTCACAGTGAGAGATTCCCACTTGCCCAAAGAGGTTGGGACATCTCCAGTGCCATTCACTTCCCTCCCCTCAACACTGGCTCTAAGTGTCTTCACAGGACTGTAGATTCAGCCCTCTAGAAATTTGGTAGGAATGCATCTTACTTAGGGCTTCAGAAGCTACCCACAATGCCCAGCCCTCAGGAGACTCCAGTGTATCCATCAGGTGAGGAACCAGGTCCTGGGTTATACCTTCTCTTATGGTTTGAATATGAAATGCATCCCTCAGGCTTATGTGTGGAAGGCTTGGTACCCACCCAGCCAGGTCAAGGTATTCGGGGAGGTGCTGGACATTTTAGGAGGAAACACCTGGCAGGAGGAAGTAGGTCACTGGGGCGTGTCCTTGGGGACTCTCTTGCAGTGGCATCTTTCTGACTCTCTCTGTGTCCTGGCTGCTTTTTGGCATATGTTCCCACAACCACGACCTTCTGCCTGACCTCATGCCCAGAACAGTGGATCAGCTAACCCTGGACTGAGGCTAGAAAACTAAGTCACAATAAATCCTTCCTCCTTTTAAATAACCCGCTGGGTATTTGTCATGGAAATGACCCAAGCAACCAATTGCATTTCTTTCCATTTATTTCTGACTTCTCCTCCCTGTACCAGCTAACTTGCAGGACCATATCCTCCATTTCAGCTCCAGGCAACAAGCCTGTTACTCCCTACTCCATGTATCTCAGCCACAGTGTAGCCATTATCCTTGCTCCTTCTGGAAAGTTCTAGACCATCATGCTGTCCCGACTCCGCAGAGTTCTTTCATCCTCTCAGATTCATGCCATCTGCCTGTCTATTCTTACTGCCACTCAGTCTGACAGTGTGAGGACTTGGCCCTGTAGCCACTCTGCATCACTCAATACTGTGGGCCCGAGTGTGTGCAGGGACCTCATTTCATCTACATTTCAGTCTCCTTTCATGGCTACATCCTGGACCTTTCCATCAACTGTGGGTTCTAAATAATGAGGCCACCATCTCTTAGTACAGCAGATTTCTCATGCTCAAAGGTGTCGTGTAACTGGTTCTGTTGGTTTCTAGCTGTATTAGACGCTCCAGCCCCAGAACTCTCATCTAATAACCAATAAAATAAATCTATTTAAGTTTAGGCTGAAAAAATTGCACTGGGAAGGTCATATGCAAATGTGATGATAGATTTCTAAATGGGGGGGGGGGATGAAGTGAAAAAGCAAAGCAAATGACGAGATTAGGAAAGACGTGAAGGGAGCTGTATGGCCAGGCAAAGAGACAGGCAGTGGTGCCCTAGAGGATCATGAAGGTCTGTGAGTGTCCTTTACAAGGCTCTTAGCTTGAAGTGAGTCGTTACAGTCAGTGCTTACAGCTTACCACAGTTGTGAGATTTCTCTGTAAGTCGCTGTAAGCAGGACCTTGGTGGATTCCAAACCACCGCTAGCAGGGCGCTGTCCCGGCCCATCCCATTCTCAAAGGCTCATTGGTACACAAGGCCTTGTTTTATGTTTCTCTTTCAAGGCACCTTATTTGAAAATGTTACTAATTCACCTTTTAAGCTGATTTGAGGCTAGCAGCACTGCAGCTCACTCCAGGATGAGACTTATCTGTGGTATCTGTTTCTTCTGTGACACACACCGCAGCCTTCTTTAACTTAGCACCACGGGACAGCACCTTGGTGCTGTGCTTGGGGCCTTGGAACAGTGAAACAAACAATAATGGGACACAAAATGGACTGCAGAGAATGTGCTTATGCAGAATAATAAGTCAATCAAGGAGATGGAAAACTACCCCGTGTGAGCTCCGCTAGAGACACGGAGGCCAGGTCACTCTCCTTTATGCTGCTCTACGCGAGCCCATGTGTGGCTGCCACACAGCATCATCTGAGCACTGGTGTTTGAGTTACTAACAAATCCTGTCAAGGGAGCAGCATTCGAAACCGTGGACCACAAGAAATGAGGATGAAGGATAGCTATAAAATGTCGGTTAGCAGCTGGTTTGTAAGAAGTGCTATGTAAACTTGGTGTTTCTACTGTCACCTTCACTATTGCATGGTATTAAATAGCCTGAGGCAGGAGCTGCAGAGATGGCTCAGCAGTTAAGAACACTCGGCTGCTCTTCCAGAGGTCCTGAGTTCAATTCCCAGCAACCACATAGTGACTCACAGCCATCTGTAATAAGATCTGGTGCCCTCTTTTGGCCTGCATTCATATAGAACACTGTATGCATTATAAATAAATAAATTTATTAAAAAATCCTGAGGCATTGGGCATCTCTGGGAAGGTTTCGGGTGGAGCAGTGATGATAACTGGTCAGGTCTGTGGTCTAAAAGGATCTTAGGACTGTGTGTGGCTAATGTGGGAGACATGAACGGATGCAGAGACAGTCTAGGAAACAGTACTGTAATCTGGGTATTGACAGAAATATGATATTGCCTTAGAACAGAGCATAAGAAATAGCCATGGCTGGAAGGAATGGGCCTAAGAGAGAGCCAGGCCTGGTGGCACGTGCCTGTAACCTGGCACTTGAGAGGCTAAGGCAGGAAGTTTGACATGAACTTGAGGCTAGACAGGGATATTTAACAAGGCTCTGTCTCAAAAGATGAGCGAGAAGGAGGGAGAGAAATAGGAAGGAGGATCGGACGGAAGGAAGGATAAACAGACGGCTTCCTTTCTATTGCATTTCCCATGGAATGTGCTCTGAAAATTCACCAGTACCACCTGCTGCCAAATCTTCACCAAGAAGACTTCCTCATCTCTCCGAGGGATCTAAGGAATCCTTTACCTATTTAGACTATTCTCTGACATCTTTAAGTCTAGTGCTAGTTTAGTGGTCTTCTAAGGGTTTTTGTTGTTGGTTTAAGGAGTTTTTTTTTTGTGTGTGTGTGTGTGTGTGTGTGCGAGAGAGAGAGAGAGAGAGAGAGAGAGAGAGAGAGAGAGAGAGAGAGAGAGAGAGTCTTACTCTAAGTTAGCCTGGAAATTAAAATGTAGCTCAAGTTAGCCTCAAACTCATAGGTTGAGCCTCCTGGCTCAGCCTCCAGCGTCCTGGAATTGTGGGCATGAGCCACCACACCTGGCTGGTCATGGATTTTTGTACTTTTCTCTCTTGCTGGACTATAAACTCTCCTTGGGTCCCTGGTATCAAGTTAAGGACTTGGGTGCTCAGGAAGTAGCAATCACATCTATAGATCATGAGCCCTTTCACAAGCAGCAGAGGTTTCCCTCCGTGTCCTGGTCGTGGATAAAGTATCTTCCACTCAGATGATGCTCAGGCCTCTGAACCATGTCCATTATTTTCCATTCAAAAGTGATTTTTACTAGAATTCAGAGACATTGAACACCTAGGGTCATCCTAGAAGTACAATATTTTTTTTCTTGACCTTTTACCATGCTTTCTTCTTGAGTCCATGAAACAAATTTATAAAATTAAGTGTGTGGGTGAGGTATCTCATCTCAAACATTCTCTTTGGCTTGGATACTGAATGGATCAGCCGACACAGCAAAATTCCGTTGGGTGGGTAGCTCAGACAACAGAAATGTCATCTTTCATAGCTCCCAATGGAAATGCAGGGGTATTAATCTATTCTGTTCTTAACTGTGGCTGGCAGCCTCATCCTGACCTCACACCATGGCTAATGGAGGGTGGGGACTCACTGTCTCTCTCCCTCTCCTTAACCCCAGCATGTCCCCCAGTCTTTTCAGACAGATCACTACCTGTATGACCTTATCCAGTCTCTGAAAATCTTAACTCCAAAGGCAATCACATCGAATAAGAGCTTCCAGCAAGTTAATTTCAGGGACACACTGTTGTTGCGGGAGGTCCTTCCGCTCCTCCAGCCTATAGCCACTGAGATACCAGCCCATTGGGGCGTGGTCTCTCTCCCTTTAAAAAAGCAGCTACTTCCCTTCTCTCTCTCTTTCACTTCCTGCTCCGCGTCCGGCGACTAGACTCCCTTCCTGGTTGCGCAGCTGGGACGGTGATCTGTAAGTTTTTTCCCCTTTAAATAAATACCACCCTATGAATCATAATTCCAAACTGGTGTGGCATTGTTTGTGACTTACACCTATACACTGTGATCCACACTAGTTGTTTTAGGACTCTGGAAATCATGCTTCATTCATCTCAAGCATGTGGTCATATACATGTATCTTTGTAGCCTTTATGACTGTTAGCTTAGCTTCTCTCCATGCGACTTCATCTAAAATGTCCTCATCATCTGTAAGACTTGGCTTTTTTCAAATGCTCCAGGACTCCTCCATAGTTTTTGCTGATTACCAAAGTGAGACAGACCCTGTGTTGAAGATACACCCCAAGGTCCATGTGGTTTTGGGGTGGATGTTGTGGAAGCATCACCTGTTTCTATGCAGCGTCTACGTGACCCAGCAGTTGAGGATATCCTCACAATGATCACAAACATGGCAAGAGCTAGCATACATCAAGGATTCGCCGGCCAAGTGTATTTTGCCAGGTGTCTTAATCAGTGTTCTATTGCTGTAAAGAGACACCAAGGCCATGGCAAGTTTTATAAAAGAAATCATTT